ACACACACACACACACACACACACACACACACACACACACACACACATTCCTACTATTGAGAAACTTTCATAGGCCTGCATTCCAAGCAGTGAGCAAACACGCACTCCCTGCAGAGAGGGGAAGTCATCCGCTGGTCCCTAACAACAACAAACACCAAATTACACTAGCCCAAAAAAAACACACTAAGAGGCAACAGACTCAGTGCTAGAATACAACAGACAGAATACAACAAGAGAGAATATTAAAGGGGGTCAGGAGGGGAGGAAGAGGGTTACAGAACTAATCCGAGTGAGAAAAACTAAGAGAGGGGGAGAAATGGAGGAGGAGGAGGAGAAGAAGGAAGAAAAGGAGGCCCCTCATCCCCTCCTCTGGTGCAGAGGAGAAAAACAGAGTGTTTACAGGAAAAACAAGGGCAAAGTCCCTGCATTAGTACATGTGGATCCGACCTATAAACCTACGCAACATTTACTGGCAAGGAGACACACACACACTCACATATTCCAAATAATACTAACTAGGGGGGAGACAAACAAATATGGACGCACATGTGCACACACATCACAATGCATCCATTAGCACAAATCACGAAGGACACACATGCACACACATGCAAAATCCATCTGACAATGCACGACTTCCCGCCACGCAGTGCTCTTTCCCCATCCATTCCTTCGTCCACCCCTCACTCCACAAAGAAACATACCCACCCCAGTGCCTCTCTCCCCTATCTGTCTTGTTTATGTAATAGTGACAGTGTTTCCCGCTCACACTTGGCCCAGTCCCTACTAACACACACACACACACACACCAACACACGCGAACATGGACACACGCCCACGGTGAGCCAATGACCTGACTTCCATTGGCATAGGAACACAATCCCACCACATGCAGGCCAGAGATGTATTTGTAACACTATACTTGTGAGGGCAGACTATTGATTCGTGATGATAGAATGACCTTCAACCCCTCTAAACAACTAATAAGGCAAACCCAACTTTTGCCCTATTCATAATGTCAAACTTGAATGTGAAAAGACCAGAGAAAGAATCCTCTCTCTCTCTCTCTCCCTCTCTCCCTCTCTCACACACACACACACACACACACACACACGAGAGAGTCAGAAAGTACCCCCTGACACCCAAAATTCAGCACATTCCTGCTCAGTGCTCTAGAGGAGGCTGCCTTGGTTACTACTCTTCAACAGCAATGATGGGAGTAATGCCTGGTGCATGCTCTCTGCGTCGAAAAGCTCGAATGGCTTCCACCATTATCAATGATGACCACTTCATCCACTTCTGATAGTTGTTAGTCAAAAGTAAAACAAAACATGAAAAAATTTGCAAAAAAAGTCTGTCCCGCTGTACTCTGTATTTGCTTCAAATGACCATTTCTATCTCCGCCAAATGATTATGTATACGGCAGTGTGTGTGTTTGTGTGTGTGCGTGCATCTGTCTGTCTGTCCACGGCTAAACTTGCATCCTGCTGGAACCATCTGACTAACATTTTTTGTGCTTATTCATAACTGTATTTTCCAGGAACTCTTGTGGTTTTAGTGATTCATCGTTTTTGAAAACATATTTTAACGGATATTACCGACTGTTTAAATACGTCATTGGTTGCTGACTTCTCACTGCTCTTAACCGGCATGGTTAGGGGCTGCAAGTGATCAATAGCGGCTTCAGTTCGAACTCTTGTTTCTGCTGCGTGTAACAAATTTTTGTGCGCAAAATTGACAAATGTATGTATGCATGTATGTATAACTATTGTGGTTTGTATTCATTCAATCAAACATTACAGCAGTAGTCGTTGCATAAACAACTGGTGGAGATCTGCTCTCTACTGAGTACACTTCTCTAGTTTTGCAGTAAATACAGAATTTTGATTACAAATTCCTTACTGCATTTCAGGAATTTTACATAATTTTACATAATACAAATCATGTCTAGATGGAGGTTCAGGACTGAGGAAAAACACAAACAAACACAAACTAACCTGTGAGATGTATCCTGGGGGTACGTGGATGGGGGGGATTGACCCATTTGGGGACATCATGGGAACCTCAGCAGGACCTGCAAGGGAGGAGAAGACTTATTTAACCAAGCAGTTAAAGTAAATCCTCATTTGCATTTGTCAATTGTCACTCAACAGGACACATGCAGGGACACAAACACAGCCACACACTGAGGGGCAGGCCAGTGTAAAATGTGACACAGATGTGTCACATGGCCTTTATTCAAGTGAATAAACCTGTAATGTAAATGTAAATGTAAACCAGATTATTCCTCTTATTTGAGGCAAACAGATTTAAAGCTCTTGGAAAATGACAATGTCTGTGGCAACATGTATGATGGATTAGTGTACAACACATGAGGGCACATGAACGCTCTCTAAAAAAAAAAAAACTCAGCTCTGAAGCAAAAGCAAGGAAATCTAATAGAATTAACAGATTGCAAATTATGTTGACTTTTCCACAATCCATCTCGCTTCCTCCTGCTCTATGAAGGAGGTCTGAGGCTGGTAAAGTCATTGGGAGCCCGTTGGGACAGCTGGAGGCAGAACTGGCCTCAGAATAAAATGTGCGCGCACACACACACACACACACACACACAAACAGAGGCCCATTAATACCATACAAAGTATGATACTAATAGTTTCTGTCAATTGTCAGTTGAATATTCTAAAACCTGATTTTCTTTTAAGTGTCATTTCACCAAAGTTACTATAAAGAACTCACTGTGTAAGTGAGAAATTTAGGCAAACAGACTCATTATCCTCTTTTTTGCTTTTCTCTCATTTTCAGCTAGTCTTCCCTCTGTCCTTCTCTACACCTTCACTCTGCTGCTCCTACTCACTTGATCATGCTTTTCTTTCCATCTTTTCGCCTCCTTTCCCCTCTTCCTTCATCCCCATTTTTAAGGAATTCCTCCAGCATGATCTTCCCTCTTTCCCTCCCTTCACCTATTACTCACGTCCCTCCTTTCAATACAAATATTACTCACTTCATCCTTTCCATCCTTTCCTACTTCACCCTCACTTATTTCATTAAGTCACTCTCTCCCCCTTTTTTTCATCACCCTCTTTAAATCATGCCCTCTTTCGTTCCATCCCTCCATCTCTCACCCACCTACCTGACCTCTCACCAGCCAAACAAACGGTAAACACACACACACACACAACCTGAGCAAAGTCTGCAGTGTGGACTGGTTTGCGTGTGTGTATAGTGAGTAGGTCACAGGTATGAAGAGACAGACCTCTTTCAGTCCCATCTGCTCCCCTACCATGGAGACTATGAAAGTCCTCATTGAGTAGAAGGTCATAGCATGGGGAGAACACACAAACACGGAGCCCCTCTAAACCGCTTTCCATCACTGCTCACACACCGTCCCAAATACACACTCTCTCGGTGAGTCTCAGTCGCCCTCTCTCAGACACACACACACACGCACACACTCTTGACAAACAGACGTGTGTTTGGACAGTCTCTGCTGCCTCTATGCTCTTCACTCAGCAAACAGCAGCATTCCTCTGCTCTCACACACACACACACACACACACACACACACACACACACACACACAC